GTAAAGTAATATATTACAACTAAATATAAGTTGAAAAGTCCAAAAAGTCACACAAACGTTTCAAACCCTTCTCACCCTTTGACAACCATTATTTCAAAAAAAAATTTCACGACCTACTCATTTCAAATCATATTCACAAAATAAAATATTATGTATTTAAATCAATATTTTTTCTACTTTTAACCACGCATTCTCTAAAAAATCATTATTCAAAACTCTACTATATCGTAATAATGGTTGTCAAACAGGAACTTAATATGTAGAAATATCATAGATTAATACTTTCAATAATATAAAAATGGAATTGAAACCGTCCGAAAAATATGAGAATCTATTCAATTTGAAAAATTAAAAATGTAAATCGTTAAAATAATCTTGAAACCAATGAGTTCCAACTGAAAATTAGATTACTAGGAATGAATTTAACCAGTTCATTTTCTAATAAAGAAGAATTTTTTAATTTGTTTTATTATTTTGATTACAAACATTTTTCTTTTTCTTTTTCTTTATTAATTCTTTTTGGGCCCAATAATCTCACAAAATTTTAATAATTGCAGTATTTTCCTGTCAACTTCGCTTCCCATCAAATTGTCTTTTGAATAAATGGAGGAAAGAAATTGCGGCCACGGTACCCAATCTTTAATTTAGTAGTAGACTTTATCCAAACCTTTCATTTGTGCCAACCACGGTACCAAAATTTTCAAAATGTCGCAACTGAAATCCAACTGGAAGGAATCTGTTAGTTGACAAAAAAAAAAATTAATATTGACCATAATTTTGACTAATTTTAAAAGGAATGATACATTTTTCAATAAAAAACACAATTATAATCTATGAGTAATTAAATAAAAAAACATAAACACTATTCATTTTCTTCTTCACTAACCCCTCACACCCTACCCACCTATCCACCACCCAAGACCAGGGGCGAATCCAGAACTTTTGTTCAACTAGGGCGGAGTCGCGGAGACCGTTGACCGGTGACCGATCGTTATAGTCGAAAATATAATTCAATACATATTTAAATGCACTAAAACATAAAAAAAATATATACACATAAAAATATATTTCAGTACAACCCAAAATTACATAAGATTGCTACGTGCTAAGTGCTAACTACCTGGACTGGTTACTGGCTCCTAGTCTCGGGCATGATGGGCAGGCAGCGGGCTGCCTCCTAA